TCAATCAGTCCGTAAGTTTTTTAATTTGCATTGTGTTTTGGCTCTTCTTGGATAGCGAACATGTTATTAACAGTTTGCTGCCGTAGCATCCTGTTCTATTTCTCTGTTGCATCTTAACTTGCCACTGGCTGCTCAATTAGCCTCTGGAAAGTGCATGATAGACTTACATAATCAGCACCCTTGTCTTCTCATTCTAGGTCATTGATTCCTCCTATCTATACACCCTTAGCCTGAAATTTTCAGCCACCGAGTTCTATCACACATGCACCCTGACAAACTCCTTCCCGGATTAATCTTACATAATCAGCACCCTTGTCTTCTCATTCTAGGTCATTGTCTCCTCCTATCTCTACACCCTTAGCCTGAAATTTCCAGCCACCGAGTTTTATCGCACATGCACCCTGACAAACTCCTTCCCGGATTAATGCCTTTCCTACTCTTCATGTTTGTCCTTACATGCAGAAACAGTAAATCTGCACCATCAAGCAACCCCCTTATTTATTTCATTCGTCTTCAAATTCAGCTTCTCTCCTTCATCCTTGCGAGGTGCACTATCTGCCCGGACCTCGCTCCATTCAGAAGACTGAATAGTCATGAATTCATGATCTTATGTTTTTGAGCTAATTCAAGCTTAAAGATAAAAGAACAAAAACGTAAAGAGAGAAGGATCAGTTCTTGCCTTTACGTCTGTATTTGTATATCAAAAGATAGGTATAGAGCATCTTGTATCAGCTTATACAAAGTAATCTTCTTTGCTGGGTGGGTGGGAGTGCCGATGGGGGTTATGGGAATAATTAGACACTGGCTTTGGAGTTAAAGATCATTGAGCTTTCAAGTCCGCTTCTTATTTGTACCTAGAATTTTTTCGAGTATGGAAAATTATAAGTTGACTCTTGAGAGATATTAAAGTGTAGGCAGAATGAAGCTGGTAAAAGGCATAGTGAATTTCGAAAAAATTTACTGTGAAGAAATGGACTTTGGTACTCAACCCCGAAAGCTAGCTCAAAAGGTGAAGATTGTCCAAGACCATATAAGGAGACCATAACTTGTATCCTCCACCAATTTGGGACAGTTAACACCGCCCCTCACACAAAAAACTGGACATATGGAGTGTGGACAACATAACATGGTGGGTAAACCAAGAATAGGAATGAGTTTGGCTCTGATACCATGTGAAGAAATGGACCTTGGGCCTAAATCCCAAAAGCTAGCTCAAGAGGTGAGGATTGCCTAAGACTATACAAGGAGACAACAACACATTTCCTCCACCAATGTGGGACACTTAACATTTACTGATCTTCTTTGTTGCTTCTCAGTTATTATTGATTCTTTCTTCTATCTCTAATTTGAAACTCGGTTTATGCTAAGATATTATCAGTTAATGCAATGAATGGCTACAACATATATTTTCCTTTTTCCTTTTCCCCTCTTAATTTTCTTTATTACTGGTGGTTATTCAGGTGGTCGGGATGACGCAAAGATATTGGTTCCAGCTACTGTTTTGCTTCGCTACATGTTCACACCAGCTGAATTGCGGGTAATGTTTCTATGTGGATACTCATTTTCTGTAACATTTCAATTCGGTCTGACTGGAACAGTAAATTGTACTCAAAGTGTTAACAAATGAATTGCAGTTGCCAAATTGCCATACCTTTGTAAACTGTTGGCATATCAATGCTGATACTGGCAAACATAACATAGTAATAAGCAGTTGCAGCATATATTAATCACTATGAAGTGGAGGCAGTTAATCTGAAGTTCCAGTCATTTTGTTCAGGAAGCTGTCTTGCTACTGTTTTTACCACCATGTAGTTTTTTCTAGTTTTGCTACTAGTTGAATCCTTGAGTGTGAGATTTACCTATTAGTTATTGTTTCTGAGCCGCCGTTCAGCTAATGCACTTCAGATCTTGTCAATAGGAGGATGAGCATTTATGCTCCGAACTACAGCAGGACGTCCAAGAAGAGTGTTCAAAGTTTGGCCCAGTGGACTTAGTAAAGGTATTGCCTGTTCTGATAAAATCCATTACCCACGGTTTCCGGATTTTATAATATTGCTTATTTATGTTGTGATATATAAACTATGCTCTACTAGGAGATGAGTTATTGATGTGATTTTGTAGACCAATATAGGGTGATATGTGCGCCTTCTGAGTTTGTTGAATTTCTAAATTATGTGGTTCTGTGCAAAGCTGTTTTGCTCTTTTCACCTGTCAGTAAAGTAGGAATTCTGGGCCTTCAAGATTATAAGTACCTTTTATAATTTTAGAACAACAATTTGCAGTAAAGATCAGAGTCGAAATGCTCAACTGTTCCATAAATTTACCGGGTTTGGTTGCTTGCTTCTTGTTGCACTTCTACATTTGTGCAGTTGATTGAAGGTGGGCCTTGATGCTTCCTTGCATCTAGTACCCTCTACATAAGCAACTACTATGCTTCGAAGGAATAGTTACAGTGCATTGCCTGCTTGTTAATTATGTTAAATTGGAATCTTTGTCAATGGATATATGCGTTTTAAATCCAGCTTAAGCTTCAGTTCTCCGAATAGCACATAAATAAGCACAACTGATTATTCTAAGCAGCTACTCAACGTAGAAATTGTCTGGTTGTACATCTGTTCTTTTTCTGCTGATGTCTGGGACTTCTTCTATGGTCATATTGCACTATTTATACTGGAGATTTTTTGAGCGGTTACTCCTGCTTCGACACACCCATTTCGAGTGGGTACAAATTGTGGTTGTTTATTTCCGCATGTAGTTCTTTTTTACTGCCAGTCTGGCGGTGACCGAGACTTCCTTCCCCTTTGTGGCATGTGGAACTCAAGGAGTTGAGGGATTTTATGTGGAGTGGTTTTCCTGTTTTCATACTCCTATCCTAAGAGTAGGAGCGGAAAGTTCAAATAGATTATTTACCAGAGTTAGACAAACAAATATTTAAGTAATCATTTGAAATATGAGAAAATCATGGTTAGTTTACCACATAAAGATTAAGATCATAAAAACTAGTAAAAATTTGGTTACTCGCAAAGTTTGCGTTTTAGGGAAAGGAGTCAAAAAAATCAGGTCAGAAAATGAAATATGTTAACTAATGGATTGAAAAAGATATTGCAGTAGGATTCCGGTGGTTTTATCTCATTCATTGGCTTGCTTTTGCAGGTGTGCGAAAATCATCCACAAGGGGTTGTTTTGGTCAAATTTAAGGATAGAAGGGATGCACATAGGTGCATTGAGGCGATGAATGGACGCTGGTAAGTGATTGCATCTGAAACTTTTGTTATCTCATGCAGAGTGTATTGTAGTTCTTTACCCGAGTCTTATTGTTCCTTCTATTCGATTTATATGACACACTTCCCTTTTTAGTTTATTCCCAGCCTTTCTATATTTTGGAACTCTTTAATTTTAAGTTTTTTGCGCTTAGTGATATATGCTCTTACAGCCACAAAAATGTCATGGGCATGTTTAAGACCACAAGTTCCAATTGTACTTTTGGTGTGTAGAGAGTCTTTCTTTCTTTCTTAAACTCTCCACCAAATACACAACCATATAAAATGAAAGATGGAGTATAAGCAAGCATGTAATATTGTTTATTTTGTGAAGTTGCTTTTCTGTATAGACAGCAGAGTGATCAGCACCTCTGAGAGCTTGAACTTTGTTCCATTATTGTCCTTGTTTTGTTTCCCTTATCTGATTTATATTCGTTTATTGTAACAGGTTTGCTGGTCGGCAAATCCATGCTTGTGAGGATGATGGATCTGTTAACCATGCTTTAGTCCGAGATATAGATGAAGAAACTGATAGATTAGAGAAGTTTGGAGCTGAACTCGAAGCTGATTCATAGACGTGCTTCTCCATGTGGAAATAGTAGCAACACTTATTTTTGCTTGCTGTACAATCCATGCCTCTATGCACTCTTTGAATAGGAATTCGTTATGAAGGATCCTGGCTTTTGTATTTCGGCGGGTCTCCGAGATCTTGCAAAAAGATTTTCATAGATGTGATATGAGCTGAGGTCGCCACATGCCAACTATATTTGTAATTGCAAGTAATGGGTTATCTCCTAGTTTTCTCTGGAGTACATGTGACATGATCAATTGAAATGAGAGTAGAAATTTCTCTAGTGCTTGACTTTTGTTTTCAGAATGTGACTTGCTCTGTAATTATTGTAGCTGCAAAAATTTGTTCGCTGATCGCTCCTCTTTTTGTCACTGAAAGTCCTTCTAGTTGTCGATTCTCTTTGTTCTCTCCCATTCCTCTCACCAGTATCAAAACTGGACTTGTCTGGTATACTTTTGCAAAGAAATGTACTTCTGTTATGTTTAAATTGTGGAATTCCTGCAGGGTACTTGAAGTTACATGCTTATTTAGGGGTCGTTTGGTACGCGGGATAAGGGTAGCATAAGGTAAGGGATTAAATTATTCTTTATGTTTGGTTGATTGTATAAATTTATACCATAATTTATACTATCAACCAAACATGGTATAAATTTAGTCCCAGACTTAATACTGGATATTCCACTTATCCCGTCAAACTTCAGATTATTTTATTCCACCTCCCAGGTGGGATAAATTAGTCCAAGGATTATAATCCCGGGATAATTTAGTCCGGGTACCAAATGACTTCCACCGTAGTCTGTGTATGAGCAGGAGGATCTTGTGGATCACTGTTTTTTTGGGGCTATATGTATCCGGTATTCGAAATTAGTTGGGTTGACTAATTCGAATTTGGACCGCGTAAATTCATTTTCGGTGAAAATGTTATCTACGAAGAGTTTATTCATTCTCATGGTTCGAACTTAGACGTTTCTAGTTTAGGGTAAAGTGATTTCATTCATTCTACCACTCCTGTTAGTATGTGTTAAGGTATTGCTTTTAGCCAAGTGATAACATAAATAACATAATTTTCATACTGACTACTGAAAATTGGAACGTATCCTCTTTGTTTCATCTTATATGNCACACACACACACACAAAAACCCCTCCACTTTCTCACCTTATATAATATGCCAAAACTTCTTCAATCTCAGTAGTCAGTTCACTTACAATTTTCATCAACCAAACCCCAAAAGAAACTCTACTAAAATCTCATCAAAACAAAAATGGGCTTCACTAGTTATGCAGAAATTTCTGAATCACTTCATCGTACTCGCAAATTCTTCCTTATATGCAACTACATTCTTCTTGGTGCAGCTTCCAGTTGCATTTTCTTGACCCTTTCTCTTCGCCTTATCCCTTCTCTCTGCGGCTTTTTCCTCATTCTTCTCCACATTTTCACAATTGGGGGCGCAGTCTTTGGCTGCGCAGCTGTTTCCACTTCCTCAGGAACTGGAAAATGGTATGGACCCCACATGGTTTCAACTGTTTTAACTGCCATTTTACAGGGTTCTGTTTTTGTGCTGATTTTTACAAGAACGGGTGATTTTCTTGGAAAGTTGAAGTCTTATGTTAGGGAAGAAGATGGTGAGATGATTTTGAGATTGGGTGGTGGATTGTGTGCTTTGATATTTTGCCTTGAGTGGGTTGTGCTTACACTTGCATTTTTCTTGAAATATTATTCTTATGTGGAAGGTGATGGTAATGTTGTTGGTGGATCAATTTCTATGAAAAGAAGTGCTAAAGTTCAAGATGAGGAAGATATCAAGAATTGGCCATGGCCTTTTCAAGTCTAAGTAGTAATATAAATTGGTCTTTTCTTGGATATGTTTTTGGGGGGTGTGGGATAAAGCTATATATATCATAGCTTCAATGACCTGTTCATTCATTTGTTATTTTCTTATTTTCTTTTGTTTGTGTGAGTTGTGTTCTTTGATGGTTCATTATATACATATATATGTTCTTTTGTAAATGAGGAAATTGGAAATGCAATGTTTTTTTGCTATTATCTTCTATGCTATTTTACTTTATGGTTTGATTTGATAGTCAATATTTTCACAGGTGAAAAGATAAATATCACAACCCAAAAAAAATGTTGTAGTAGTCTTGAATTGTTATTTGTAATTTAGTAGTTCCAACCAGCAACAAAAGTTTTGGCTTGTGTGAAAAAGAAAATCTCCAGAAATCTGTCTATTTTTCAAAATAAGAAATGACCCTCACTCAATTTTCTAAAAGTTTTGTCAAATTAGTTTGGACTTCCTATAATTAGACTTAGGATACTAGGATGGTAAGTAGGATTTTCCGAGCAAGCTGTGGAAAAAAAACGCTTCTTTTGGTTAGGGGCTGAGAAGCTCTTGCTTGCTGCTTGGCTCTATAACCTGTGTTGTAAGCTTTCGGCAAACTCCATACTCCATATTACCTGTGTTGTGCCAATAAATATGCTTCAAAATTAGCCACTGCCTAGTACAAATATAGCAAGAAAAGGACTCATCTTAGGTGAGTTACTGTGAGCCCATGGATCTAAGAGGATGTGTGAGTTAGGCTCACACTACGAGTACATGATATATGAGTTAGACACACGTCACATATATGATCTCTACCGCAAGCTTGATATATTCAAGTAGAGAAGGATAGATCTAGCTGATGTGTGTGTTAGATACACGTCACATAAATGAACTCTACCGCAAGCTTGATATTCAAGTAACAATAGATCTAGCACGTATATGACCTTTGCCGCAGACTTAATATTTAAGTGAAAAAGGATAGAAAGGCGACGCATTATCCACCGAGTTTCGTGCTCCGAGCAAAATCTATCATCAAATATTCTTATATATGCCCACCTATTATTTGATCCACCGATCTAGCAAGTCTTAACCAATACATAAGGGAAAAGTGAAAAGAGAAGTAAAAGGAGTACTACAAAAGGCTCGTCTTTAATGGTGATAACTATGTTTTTCCCCTATGGCCTAAAATACAAAAAGCTAAACCAAGACTCTACTGAAGGCTCTTTAACTCCATTGCATCTTCTAACCAAAGGGATGACAGATTATAGACTTCATAACATACCCTCAAATTACTTAACATTTCTATGTTACCTTTCCAACACAATGCATTCATATCTTAATCTCTTTGTCAAAAATCCAGCTAAAAGGAACAGGGCTCCGCTGCTTCGCCCTTGCTTGTGCTCTCTCCTCCAACTTTCTAATTCGCGGGGCCAATCCACATACATAATCTTGTGCTTTGCGTCCTTCACCAGAAAGACCGGTCAACTTTTCCACTTCCCATCTCGCCACCAGAAATTCCAGAATATCAGCATAGTCCTTGGCTGTGTATACACCAATCCGTTGAGCTACAGCAGAGAAGTGTTCGAAGAGGTTGTCGTCCTTTCCATCATACATCAGATGAGCTGGCATTGAGATTTTCTTCTTCATCATGTCGCCAATAGCCAATATGGCGCCATCTGGATCAACCTCAAGTAGCTTCTCGACGATTTTGGTATATGCAGTTTCATGACGCTTCTCGTCTGCAGCAATTGTACCACATATTTGTGCTAGTTTCATATCCCCGTGCTCCTTGGCGAGCCGAGCTGTGTTTCCGTGTGAAACAAAGGTAGCCCTTTCTTGAAAAGAAGTGTAGATAAAACCTAGATAGGGGTTGTTTTCCGTGCGAGGATCCTGGAAATATAAAAGTGTGGTAAAGTACATGAAGTACAAACCAAATTGAACAGCAATAACCCAGTGTAACCCCACAAGTGGAGTCTAGGGAGGTTAGTGTGTTCGCAGCCTTACCCCTACCTCCGAAGGTAGAGAGGTTGTTTCTTATAGACCCCCGGCTCATGCAAAGCACAAAAATGATTATATCAAGTTCAATCTCAACCAGATGCGGACTTATACTATATAGAGAGGGCCACTGACACCTGTAAAGTTCGACAAAATTCTATGGATACATGTATATGTTTTTAGAAAATAGTGATATATTAGGAGTGACACTCTATATATAAAGCAGATTTTGGTTGAATCCATAAGTGCACCCCGACCTTCAAATCCTAGGTCCGCCTCTGAATTCAACAATTTTATTTATACATAGTGAAAAGTTAGAAACATGTAGCTAATGTACCTCAGCAAACCTGTTTTTTTAATCATGTTTATGATTAAACACCATATGAAAACTTTGGTATTTATTCCTGTAAACTTTTACTAACATATTTTCATCCTCATTTTGAAACTTAAATTGTTGTTTATATGATAGCATAAGATCAGGTAACAATCTTACCATTCCTGAACCAATCAGGTACTGAACTGTCCTTTCAATTTGCTTCATATCAACTCTTCCAGAAAGATAAAGATATTTGTTCAGAAGATCACCGTGTCTATTTTCCTCGGCTGTCCACGCCCGAGTCCAAATAGCCCACGAAGTTAGGCTCGCGCCAGTTTCATCACGAACGCCATCCAACGTGTTTATCATGGTCTGATAAGTCGGAAGTGCTTCCTCTGTGATCATATCCCCGACTAATACAACAAAATAGTCATCGGGAATTTCCTTACACCTTTCCCTTAACTCCTTGACCTGCTCGTCGAATCCCTCAGAGGCGGGATCAGGAAGAAAATCACTAGGCTGCCAACATTTCTCTACTGGCTTTAGGTGCACCAAGATATTCTGTTCAGCCCAATCGCGCAGAGAGTCAAAGATTTCGCGCTTTTCTGGTGGCATGGAATGAGTTACTTGAACATGCACCTCTCGTGGAGGAGTAAACGGCTTCTTCACATTTCGAACTTCCCTACAATTAGTAGAAGCAGACTTAGGATTTAAAACAAATCAACTTGAAGACCTCATAAGCTAAAAGGATAATCTCACAGAGATAGTGGCATACTACTAAAGCAATATTCAAGTTAGCTTTTAACAACTGAAATAATACATGAGATATAAGTGCCAGTCAATTCCATAACAGCTAAAAAAGTTGAGGTGTAGCAAACAGCCATTTATAGAAGAAGCCACCTACTTGCAAACAAGAAAAGAATAACCCACATAGCTATAATTGGAAACATTGACTACAACAACAATGTTAAAAACCCAGTGCAATCCCACAACGTGGGTTCTAGGGACGGTGGAGTGCATGCAGACCTTACCCTTACCTTAAGAAGGTAAAGAGGTTGTTTCCAATAGACTCTCGGCTCAAGAAAAAAAGCAAAAAAAGAAGCAGAAACAACAAGTAGTAACCAAGGGCGGAGCTAGCTCTTTTTGTATGGGTTCGACTGAACCCAGTAGCTTTGGTTCAAACTCTGTATTTGTCTTACGAAATCCATTGAATACGTACAAATTATTAATTTAGAACCCAGTAACTTAAAAGAACTAGAATCTCGAACCCATAAATTTCAAATCCTAGCTCCGCCTCTGATAGTAACCATAGCAAGCAAAGGTGATATATTAATCGAAGAGAAAAAAACGACACTAATACTAATGAAACCGGCATGAAAATAAGCACCCCTAACAAAAGATAAAAAAAGTACCAAAAATGATTTTCCTTAGGACCTTCTGAATATATATCTGCATGTATTAACGCAGTCAAAATCAACAAAATCTAAAGTATGACGAAACTTAAGGAACCAAAAAAATTACAAAAAAGAATCATTGGAGTCATTTAAAGCAAACATAGAATATAGAAACAATCACACACCCCATATATAAAAAAAATCGAAACCACATTAGATTTCATTGTTATCACAACATGCATTGCCTATTAAAATAAATATTAAAGGCAACAAAATGAAATCTTTGATTTGATAAATAAATTTTTAGAAATCAAGGAGGCCATCAATGCCATGCAATAAACTAAGCAATTACGCATAAAAGAAAAAGAGGACACGATTTCACAATGCTAAAAATGTGAATTTTTAATTTAACTTGTTCTTAAAAAGAGCTTCCTTAACATCAATCACCATACCCGATGAAATAACTAGGTGCATGCGAGCTGGTCCGGACACCACCGTCTAAAAAAAAACCAAAATTACAATCATAAAAATACACCAAAAACATGCAATCGTTTTCATTTTCAAATAATTGATAACCAAAATATTCCCATGATAAAGAACATTTTAATTTCCTTCATATGAAAAATTACACCCAATGTAGCTAAAAATCAAGTCATAAACACTAATTCTTGAAACAAAAAAAACTGACCCCACTTCCCAAAAACCATATTAATAGACACCCTTTTGCTTAAACATAAAAATAAAATAAAAATACTCACACTGAAGGTTGATGATGATGAAGTGTTGAAGCCATAAAAACTCTATGATGAGATCTGAATGAAGAAGCATTAAAAAAAGGTTGCATTTTGTGGGATTGAAAAGCTGCGGGATTGAGATTCAGTGCCATTTCAACAAAATTCACCTCGTTTATTTCGCCTGCTTTTTTACGTCTGTGATACAGTTCTATACACTTTGTATGTAGGAGAGAGAAGTGAAAGGTGAAAGGTGGAGAGAGACAAACGGATCATATATCATATATATATATATATATATAT